GGCACAAATATAACGGTGTAGAGAAAGAGTTGAGCGCGCACGGGCAGAAATGTTGAGAGCGCGAGCAAATGTGTGTGTGTGTGTGTGTGTGGATAATAGCAAACACTGGAATACTTTCTTTGCACGCAGGAATGAATTTTGTTCACTCAAATTCAGCTTTTCTTCGCTCCAAATAAATTTCTCCTCAAAATGCAAAACTTGCAACTGCAAACTTTTTTACGTGCGCTCAGAATAGCAGCACAAAAATAACGCCATGCATCCACAGAGGAAGTGACTCGCTCGTCACGTTGACGCCTAGGTGAACCTCACACAATTAAATTCTGAGTCTCACTTCCTAAAAGCTCCACGCAAAGCGAGCAAATGTGGATTCCCTGTGTTGCTGTTCATCACGCCTGTAAAAGAAATCCCTGACCTCCTGCTGCCAGCAGGGGGCGCCACGCACCGGCACATAGACCTGCTTCGTATTTTCAAACGCAGGAGAAGCTGATGCCAGTGAGTTCTGTAGCAGAGCGAGCTGTACTCACTGTCCTCCTCGGTGCGCTGCTCCACGGCGAGCGTTCGGACCTTCACCTTCTCCGGCTGACTCAGGGGTCGCCTGGGGGTCATCAGGCTGACGGCGGCCGTGCTCAAGAAGCGGTTGGCCCGACCCAAAGTGGGAGAACTCAACCAGCTGGGCCTCGCCAGAGCTCCGCCCATCGCCACGGCCCCGGGCAGCCTCTGTGGTCAGACAAAAAAAAAAGTGATGTCAGAGGATCAGGAGGTCAGAGGTCACGGATGTTTGGTCACACATTTAGAAACTATGGATATTAAACATCAGTGAGGATAAATTTTTAAAAGCTTTAAAACATGAGGGGACACGTTTTACCTCACTTCCTGTCTAACCCACAGTTTCAGCTAGAGCAGCCAATCGGGGGAGGGGCTTAAAGCAGCACGGAGTGAAAACCAGCATCAGTGAACGGGAACAATGAAGACAGATGGAAGAAGCCTGAGAGAAACATGGACGAGGCGCTCCGTCAGCCAGCTGTGCTTCACATCTGCAGCTGCCACGCCTCTGCACGCCCTGCAGAGCCGCCGTCAGCTGGTTCTGGTCTCTGTGCTTTGGGCTAAATGCACGCCACGCCAACATTTTGCAGCAGGTCGTCTTCAGAGCGGCTCACTGAAGCCTTGCAGGTTGGTCGGTCTTCGTCGGACTCCAGGTTATCCTCAGCCCGCAGAAACAGGTGGCGGCACAGGCTTAGACAAAGCGAGCGGGCCGTCACCGGCGCCGTTAGATCAGCTCTCCAACTCAGAGCATGCACGCCATAAAAATGTTTCATGGTTTTTAATGGCGGCAGAACGTGTTGAATCCATCGCCGTGCACTCGCTCTTCATAGCGTTTACATGTTCCATCGTTTTATTTCAATATCTGGAAGTACTCACGTGTACTTTTACACATGTGTACTTTTACACATGTGTAAAAGTACACATGTGTAAAAGTACACATGTGTACTTTTACACATGTGTACTTTTACACAAACTGTTGACTCGGTGACACAGAAACACAGCTATGTAAAACATGACATCACCTGAGCAGCTCCGCTCTCGTCATCCTCGTCCAGGTCGTCCATGGACGTGGCCTGGATCTCCGCGGGGTCGATGATGATGTTTGCTTTACTCGCCAAATCGTCTGAAAAAGAGAAAACAGGCACATTCATCATGTTGTAGTTTCCACACATGAAAACCATCAGCTGAGTTTCATCGAGCTGTCTGCAGAAACACGTCAGACGGAGC